TAGTGTAAACTATTATAATGTAGAATCTCAGGTCAGAATAAGAAATCATTATTTTATAAATCTTCCAGTACCTACATCCAAATCAATCTCAAAAATACAATGAAGAATGGAAATGCGCGTAGTAGTGAACTAAACGTTTCTCACAATGCGATATTAGAGGCTAATAAGGCTCGATAGCCTGGCCGGCTCGATTAGCCGGTCGTAATTGTACAGGCGTCTATGGCCAATGTATAGCCACTGGTAACCAACTCTATTGGCTATGTAGCCGTAATGTTTGAAAGCACGCAAACTCAAGTTTCTGAATTCATGTGTTAAAGATTCTGGTCTTAAGATGGTTAAGTATTTATGTGTATTTTTCGTAGTTAATTTGTTTTTGTTGGTGTTAGGTTATTTTATTAGAGTAGAATTCTATTAATATTCTTCTTAATTTACTGAGCTAAAAGATTGAATTTTGGTAAAAATTCTGGACCAAATGCATCATAATTCTATGTCTATGTTGTTATTAATTTTAGGTTTGTATAATAACTATCGTGATTCATACTAAATTAGCTAATAATTGCTAGATGCTCGCCTGAATATACTGACACTGCTACGCGACATCAACGCGACCGCGGGATATTGAACTTATTATTGATAGAATGATGAAAAGCTACAACTAGGTATATTTCAAGAATATTTCCCGAAATTACGACTAAAAGAAGGAAAAAGTGTGCACGTGTGTAAAATTTACCGCCAAAAATATACCAAAGCCTACAATTTATTTTGCCACTTATTTTAATAGTTGCCCACATTTGTGGTTATGAAATGACGCAATTAACAAATAAGTGGTTATATTAATGAATGAATTAATGAATGATGAATGAACTAATTAAAGAATCATTCATAACTTTCTTACTAAAGACAGTAATTACTTATGTCTTACTTTACGACTGTCAACTAGACATTGAGAAAAGTATCGCGTTTAGTTATTGCAAAAAGAAAAGATTATTTATTATGTGATTAGGATTACTGTTTATCATGATTACGCATTTTTACGCTTGTATGTGGTACGTTTAGATTGGATAATATGGACGGTCTCTACTTACCTACTTTTTGTAAACGGGAAAAATCATTCAATGCATCCACTCGCCTTGGGTGAAGCGAGGGAGAATGTCAGAGTCTTACTCACTAAAAAGCATACTATTCCTACTCCTGCTTCGAACAGGAATTTCTGGAACCCGTTAAGTCTTCCGCGGCTCAGTCACAACTTATAAGACTTATAAAATAGTACCATTTGTTATATATTCCGCCGTAATTCTAGACTTCATTAGCCTTTTGTCCTATGCCAACCAATGTGCATAAATACTACATGATACGACCGAAATTCAAAATTGATAAAATCTATGATTACTTATTTTGCTTGACTTAGTAATCAAACTCAAAATCCCTAGTTCAGTAGACGCTAGTAACCACTAGACCGACAAGCCGGTTGAAAGCAATATTTAACAATAATTACACTCTTTTACTCAACCTGTACCGTGTAATCATGACTTATGCGTTGACAATACGATTTATTTCAACTTGACAGAGGGCGTGGCTGTTGCGCACACGCACGTCCACGGGAAATTATGATAACGATTTTATTACGCAGCTTATAAGAATCGTTTTTGCAAATCAATTGTTTTTGACGCAATGCATTGTGGTTTTATGATGAAAATTTGAAAGTTTTGTAATAAATTGGTGAACTTATGATTCGTGGGTTCATTAGGTAATACCTATGGACTACCAAATAAATGAAAATGGGTCATAACTGTAGTCCACCAGCTACCTACCTATTTACCTGCGCCTATAAGGAAAAATATAAAGAAATTGTACCTATACCTATGTTTTTAAACCTTTTTCATTGAGCAACGGCTTCGTCCTACGAAACTCCGGTCACAATTTTATTGCAACTACCAAACAGGTCACCGGTTCCTTTACCACATTAAATAATTGGTTAAGCATAGGAACAATTGTTGTTGAAACTGTCCTACCTTATTTGGCAGAAAACAGTTAAAGTAATTTACCGTTTAATAAAAAGCAAGAGGAAGCTTGAAATCATACCTTTTAACTATGATGCAATAACACCTTATAAAGTTTTTTTACTCAAACACAAAAAGTGTTAATATTATACCAAATTAGGGAACTAATTTAATACTCATTTGCACTTTTAACCCCAAAAAAGTCGATACGAATCAAATCGATTACTAAAAAGGATTTCCTCTAACGTTTATATCGATTTAAAAACAAATCGATTTCCCTATTAGAAAACAACTTTAAGTAAACTATAATCGCACGTATCGATTACCGTAATAGAATAATAATCTGAGAAATTATGTCAGGGATAATTTTTGTTTATTAATTCTTTAATTGAAGTTGTGTTGACGTGGAGTATTCGATTATATATTCGATTTTCTATATATGGATGTAATAATCGATTGAAACCGTTGAATTAGAATTGTAAGAATGTTATTGAATGCTGTTTGATAAAAAATAAATGTACCTAGGTAATGTATGTCTAAGTATTTATAAATTATAATTAAGTCACATACTATTTGCTATTAATATTATATGAAGTTAGTAATGTATTTACTTGTATGAATAATCATTTTAAATGATTAGTTTGATTGTAAAACAATGGATTGAATAAGTATTTTATATAAAAGTAAATGCTTTCAATAACACTATTGGAAAGTCCCGAATTTATTTATAGCCTAAATATAATTTTATTATGAATTCATATATACTCTGGAAATGGAAAACCGACATAGGTATGTTACGTATTGATATACAAATTTATTTCAATGGTAGGTATATATATTTTGTAACTGATAGGTTTTAAATTGGTTTTCCAAATGTGTTTATTGTAAAATTATGGAACATATATATTTACTGCTTAATTTTATTTTAGCGTGCTTATAAACGAGTGTATGATGTACCTATACTATAGGTAGTACCTAATATTCTGTTTGTGTAGCGTCTTCATTTATAATTATTGAATTGAACCGCAAAAAAGCGAACATGATATCAGACAGTATCTACATATCCATACAATTTCCACGAACTCCTAACCCTTTCAATGCCAAACTTATACAATCACAAATTCTCTTTCAATCCCCCAAATCCGGGCGTGTTGTCGAAACTGATGCCCTATTGTTTACGCATTCTACTGATCTGTTATTTATGTACCGCTTTTGTTTTCTAAAGACATCGGTCCTTGATACCCTACGTAAGCAAACGAAGGGTTAACGGATTTTCCATAACAAGATGTTTGTAGACAAATAAATTGATAACAATAAGCTTTTGAAGATTAATTGAATATATAAATGTGACATAATTTTATTTCAAAATAACGAAATGAAATAATAATTTGTTCATTTTATATATAGGTATAAATGTTAAATGAAATTAAAATAAATCAATAAGTAAACGAATTAGTTACGCCGATATTTTATTTATGAGGTAAATCAGTCATATTTTCTTTATTGTATTAAAAATATTAATAAATTAGTCTCGGTACCATTAGCTGCGGTAGGAATTACTCATTTCTAGCTTTTTCATTTTAATCAAATTATGAAACCTATTTATTTATGACCCAGGTATAATAGGCTATTTACTAAAGCTACTTAGATTTCTAGTCATCAAGTTAACGAAGAATTATTACATAACATAATCGATCGCTTAATTAATACAACAATTAATAGTTAACCAAGAATTAATAGAAATTAATTCAATTGATACATAAATGATTAATATGAATTAACTAGAACAGTTACTCACTAATGACTTTATAATTTATATATCGATTTGTTTTAACTGTAATTATTATAAGTTATGTTATATAATAATCTATATATAGGTAGTATTATATATATAAGATTGTCATATATATTCTTAAACATGTATTTATGAATCCGGATAAATTAATGGCGTATAACGTATATATAAAGGAAATAATTAAATATACAATTTATGTAATTGAACGTCAACGAACGTAATTAGGTTTAAATAATAATTTAATACTATAATTGGGTGGAGCAAAAATATTTTAATTAATAAACGGTATGCAGGAAAACGATAGCAATAATATAAATTATTATTGCAAAAATACATTAATTATATTAACTGTTATCAATTAATTTAACAACGTGTTTTCCTCGTTATTACTTAAATTAAATCGGAATTTCCAAATTTTGTTTGTCACATCGATTTCTGGTAATAATTAGCCATGATAATTTTAATTATTGTTATGGTGTTAGCAAGTTAATTAATAACCTATATGTTTACATAAGTATATAACCTACCTAACTTATTTATATATAGTTATTGTGTAAATTAGAGGAAACCGGGTTATACTATATGTAACGCACCGAGTTCATTTCGGAATGTACCTACCTATATATTATTCATTGGATAGGCAAGATAACAATTAAACATACATTGTATTTTTAATTTGTAAGGTAAATAACCGCTCTAGTAATGCTTTATATATACATAGGTACTTACATGTATATGTATGCATGTAAGAATTAAAAAGTATAATTATTTCTACAAAACCAATTGCAATATGGACTACGTAATATTTTTTGGGACTTAACTGAATTTATATACTAAGGTTAAAAAAGGAAAAATTAAAAGCAAAACTGTACAGAAAATGTACTGGCCTAATATTAACTCACACATAGGTACTCATTTAAATAAAAAGCAGGCAAATTAATCATAACTGATATTAAAGCTGCCTCATTATTTTATATGTATAAAGTGCCGAACAAAAATGATTTACCGAAATCAAAATATAAAAGCCTAAAGGAAATTCAAAACTTCCGAGATCCAAAATAAATAAAAAATAAAGTCTAATATATACTTAACTAAAATGCACCCACTACACAATTGTAACTTATACCTATTTTAAATTCTACATAATATGACATGTTTGCAGTTCACAAACTTTCTATAGTTAAGAAAATAAAAAGTTAACTAACCTGTTAAAGGTCCAACGGGGAAATGTGACTGGAACAGTGGACCGAAGGAAGGCACGACAGGCGGCGGGCCCGGCCAGCCCGTCAACCCGTACGCCGCCACCGCCAGCGCACTAAACGGCGTCGGCCGCACCAGCTGCGCCTTCTCCGACGGACCTCTCTCCTCATCCTCACTCGGCAAACCATTCTGCAGGTCTTCCACATCTACTATCGAGTCTTCTTGGTTAACTGAGTCCTCATACTCATCTTCAGAAGAAGTAACAGTCGCTGACATATTTGATATATTCAAATTCAAAGGTGGCGTCTGAGATGACGGCCTCGGAGACACCGACTTCCCACCGGGCAGCTCAGGCTGCGCCGAAGGAGACTGCCTCAACGGAGACTCCGGGATTGTCCGGTGGTGCCTGATCATCTCCGCCGTCTCATCCACTTGGCTCGCCTTCGTATCCGCCAATATTGACGCCACGCTGAAACTGATCCTCGACGCCTTGGGTGGCTCCGTCGCTTCGGCAGGGCTGCTCGGGTACCTCGAAACACTCTGTATCGCCATGTTCACTTCCTTGTCCTCGTAGCTTTGTTTCTTTAACATTGAACGCTGGTTAGTTCCATTTAGCACAGCCGGTTCACACTAGGGCGCGATCTACGGATCGTGTACGCATGCGGGCGCAGTCGGAGGTTGACTGGCGGACAGTGGCGGTGCGCGGCGGCCGGGAGCCTGGGGGCAGGCGTGGCGTGTGGCGCTCCGCCCCGCCAGACCCGGCCCGCTCCGCCAATCCACCGCTGGCCTGCCGATTGATCCGCGCGGGCGTCGGGGGGAGCGATTTAGCACGCTCTTATCTCGTTAGTCTCCTTTGTGATACTCGATTTTTTTTGTAGGAATCAAAACATAATTACCTTTTGTAGGGGTTCGCGCGTTTTGATCGCACACTTTATGCCCGCCACCAGAGGTATAAAGTATAAAAATATAATGAGCAGTTGTGAATGCCGCTTGTTAAATCCTTTTGAGCGTTCTCTGCTGGTCCCTTTGTAGGATTAGCGCCGAGGGGGCATTGGTTTGATGAATTCTGCTGCGTCCGTGTTTACGGATCCGTTTCAAATTAGCACAAATGATTTACAACGGAGCTGCTCACTGTTATTTATACTTTGATTTATATAACTTTTGTTGTAAGAATGTCTTTGCGATATAATAGGTGCCTATTTGATGAAGGCGTTGTCTGAAAAGTTCATGTACAATTTTTCTTTCATTCCAATTATCTTTTGATAATAATAAAATTTTATAACGATCTAATCACACTATATGAACATCAAGGAGAACTGACAAAAATAACACACAACTTAAAACAGGAAAATAGTAAATTATAAATAATGTAAACTATGCATTTAGGCGCCAATACTAACCACAAGTGGTAGGCACTAGAAATAGAATAAGGTAACTTGTACGATGAGTAATTTATTCTTGTTAGAAAATATGGAATATTTCTCGAAGTGAATAAACAAAACATTAATACAAAAACATTAATAAACACAAATAAGATGACATTTAATAAAATATGTAAAGAAAATACCTGATGAAGTCAATATTATTAATAGAATCATTAACCAACGTGATTCAATATAAACAGATGATGTTTATGTAGAAATGGAGGAAAACAATAGAATTAAAAACATTTTAAATATGCCATTTCTTTAGCGTGTCAAAGTCAGTTGGCATAAAGATTTTGATTAGAAGAACAAAATTGGCCTTATAGGACCTTGACTCCACAAAATGCATCAGGTTAATTTTCTACTAAAGCCTTATTATGCACGAAATTGAAGATTTTAAATTGGAACCGAAAAAAATGTCCAAAATTTTAACATTTCTAAGACTGTCACTTTCCAAGACGTTGATGAAGATAGAAATTCAAAAACGAATCTTGTGTATCTGTAAAATAAAAGTAAAGTCGTGTAGCGTAACTCATCGAAATATAATTGTTATAAAACCTAATAACTATCAGCCAACTTTATGCTATAAGCAATAATGGCCCGGTTGTTACTGCTCACGTAATTAAAATCAGATGAAACTTTTCCCACCAGATATTAATATCCCTATAAATCGGCAAACGCTATACAATCATCAATTTATAAGCTGCCAACAAGATGGCGTCCAAAAAATCTTCACAATCGGATAAACTCAATCAAAATTAGATAAGGGTTGTTACTTGTAACTTAAAATAAACACCAACTATCTTCACAGTCGGTTAGCGGCAAAACCGGAGGGTGACAATCCTATTCACGCGACGTCATAAACGTCAAACAAGGGGTGATATCCGATATCTATTGTCTCTTTCGCACTTACAGAATACACTAAATAGGTATTTAGTATTCGGAAGGGGAAAATAGTTAATTTTGTGGGGTGAGATGGAAAAAATTGCCGACCATAACATATTTTGCTGTCATTTTGGCGTTCGGTAGATGGCGGTAGAGTCGATTATTGGTTGTTTCGTTGTAAAAGTGGTTTGTAAGTTGTGGGGAACAGTTTTCCTTATTGAATGTGTGTGATATAAATATAAATGTTATTAATTATGATTGGCTTCATTGATTTTGGCTTAGAAGGTGTTTGTTGAAGCTGGGGGAGAATTGAGGTTGACTGTTATGATCTGATAGTATTCGGTTTTCGTATGAAACCGTTTTGCCAATAACTTAATTGTGAGTTTAAGAATACATAACTGATGTATTGCTTTAGACTACTAGACAGGTCATGAAGGTATTTTTAGTAGACACAGATGATTGAAGGGAATTGGCTGACTAAAATTCACTTTATAAGTGAAAAAAACCCAAGAAAGGGCAAGTAGCAAGTGCTAATCATACTAGCACATCTCCTTACTAAATTGTTTCTTATGACCCAAACAAAACGACCAGCACAGAGATGTCAATTAACAGACTTCCTAAACTTCCAAAAAAATATCTCCAAGAAAATCAGCGTCCTAATTAAAGCCAAAATTAGCAACATACATACTCACTAATGACACGACACATTTCATCCACGTGTTGCCAGCATTGCCAGTGTTGCCATACAAATGATGTGGCATTCTGAACGCCGTCGCAAATATGGCCCGCTCTCATACAAAAATGTATGGAATCCACTATTATGATTTACGCAGTCATGCTAAAAAAATGTGAGAAAAAATTTGAAGAATTTTTGAGACAAATGATGTTCCCTTGTTTTTACGAACAACACTACTGTTTACTTTAAAAAATAGGTTTTTTTTTTAATTTTTATGCATCTTCAACAACGTACTTTCATACGTACTTATGTAAAATGTTGTACTTATATTACATTCTAACATTTTAGTATTAGAGACATTCAAAAGGCTACTATTTCCTCTCAGACGAATAGTAAACTTGTTTTTGACCCCTGTGATATAAAAACACATTAGAATAGTCAGGAATTTGTTCATACCTTCATTGATAATCTCAGTAGGTCACCTACTCACTTTCATTATTCTCATTTATAGAAAACAAACCTAGCCTTGGGCTCTTGGCGTAGCTTTAGACTCCACGCAACAAATGAAGATTTATAAAAAAAAAAATATGAGAAATTATAATAACACAATTATGAATATGGAACTTAAAATTTACTAAAACTAAAAAAAACAATAAAAAATAACATTTTAGACACTCGGTATCTTACCTTCTTAGTAAGGGTAAATACTTACACTCACAGACAAAAACTCTAAACCCTTCAAAACTCTATTTCCGTTACAAAAAGCACATAATCGAATAAAAAAGAAATGTTAGATAAATAGGTACTTAAGTACCAACAAATCCATCACCGTATTTAGCATTTATCACAGGCTGTAGCTATAAATGATGCTCTCGTAAAAATATCACCCAAAACATTTATTCATTTGAACAAGTAAATTAAAATAGATTTATAAATCACGCTGTAGCTACCGTGCGGGCGTAGGCGACGGGCACAGACTAGCTATGTTGCAGACACGACACTTTTAAGAGAATTAAATGAATACAAATTGGTTGTTTTATATTTTTCGACGCATAGTGTCTAGTACAAAAACATTCACATGTTTTAACGATGTAAACAACAATTGGTTATGTAAAGACTATCGGAATATTTTTTTTTTTTATGTGGGGAAAATCATCGAATGACTGCTCCCGCCTGGGTGAGGCGGAAGGGAGTGTCAGACTCTTACTGACTAAAAACCACCCCGTTCCTTCTCCTGCACGTCGAGCCGGAGCCCCGGTTACCCGTTAGGTTCTCCGCGACACTATCGGAATATAGGGCCAAATTTTCAATACTGAGATACATTTTAACTTAGGAATAACTGTGAATATTTGACAATTCTTCCGTACTAAAAACTGTCAACTGTCAATTTTATTCAACAGTTAAGAATAAACTGATGATTGAAAAATCGGCCCTTAATCAAAATTTATTAAGAAAGAAAGAGCCTTTTAAGTGATAGGTACAGGCATTTTCTATCTAGGAATATTAACTATCAAATATGTAAAAAGTTGTGCTTACATTTTCAACTGTAGGCACAATACACATAAGGTAGATAAACATAAGGCATTCTTCAAAAAATTCTGTTTCCCAATTTAATCTTTGCCGTATCGTTGATGAGCGCGCATACCCACAGCATAATGAGACTAGTGAAACCAGGAACATGTCAATTAGCAGACATTTTGCCGTTTATGTTTTTTGCCGCCGAAAAAATATGATTTATGGACAAACCGTGGAACATGACACTCGTTGTGGCCGTTACTAATTGTCTATGGGTTTTGGTTATGATTGTTAAGGATGGAATTAGTCGAGTTGAGTGGATGGTCTCAAAATCTAATGTTAGATTTCATAAATTTAATCTGGATAGCAAACCTAGTAAATCAGTCTGTGCTAAGTTTAAACACAGACACACACAGTAATCTTACTGTTGTTTTTTATTCTTTATTAATATAGAGTCTTTTAATCACATAAAGACCATGCCAGACCCATCATAAATTAATGTTTTACAAAAAATGTAGTTTACCCAATCTATTTTTGTTTGCCATATGAAATCAAAAGACCGTTCTAAAACAGGTCACATTTTGACTGAACTAAATCAATGACTTTGTATCATTATACATTATCAAATGTGAACGCAGAGTTCCCAACACATTTTCTCACATGTTTTATTTATAGAAACCCAATTCATTCTCTAAACGACACAAACACATTTAAATATTAATCCTCATTCACATAATCACCTCTTACTGCAGGATAAAATCAGTCTAACTAGTCCTTTTACGACTATCAACATAATTAAACCATTAGCCCGATAATCGAGAAACTATTCAGACGGAGAAATCTCGATTCTCGCGGTATCGATACCGTTTACTTTACATCCATATGTGTATACTTCACTAGTAATTAAGTCACACTCTAAAGCTGCAATCTAATTTGCTGATAATATCATACCTCTTTATTGAAATTCTACCTTATCATGTACAGAATAAGGGCTATCGTTACTTCTTTGACGATAAAGATAATGTGGTTGAATGATGTCTCCCGGTTAATTTACTTCGGGAAGGAAATATTTTCGTTCGAAATTCTATTTTGACATTCGTGTTAATCGTCCGCAGGTGTGTACTGGCATTTGTGGTATGTGTCATTGATACTTTAGCTACTGAGGCATTCATCATCTTTGTATAATTTTGGACCACATTTAACTCTGTTTCGACTAATGAATTGGGTAA